CGGGTCCGGCAGGGGTTCGATCCCCGGTCGGAGCGTAACCAGTTTCCTCAGCGCGGTGCCTCTGTAGTCGATCAGGGGCGCGGGGGGATGGACTGAGTTTCTGGAAACTCGGAAAAGGGAGAAAACTGAGCTACTTTTTCCAAAACTTGTCACCAAAAGCAATAAAAGTGTTTTGATGCAGCGACTAAACTCCTTTACCAGTATCAAAGAAGTGCAATAAAGATGAGAACTAGACGTCTTTGTCCCTTTCGTAGGAAATTTTTGACGGACTGACTAAAGTAAAGTGTCTAAAACACTTCTGTTATTATAACCAAAATGTTCAGTCAAACCTATAGCGACTAAACTGTTTGGTCGTGACAACCAAAGTTTTTATCGCAGTGACCAAACATTTTTCTCAGTGCGGCTTCTTCAGTACACAAGTAGGCGCAAGACGCAAGTCTGTAGCACACATAGTTTTATGGCAATATTGGAACGAAATTAACATTACCAGCATTGGGTTGCACATTTAAATTTACATTTATGGTCAATTTAACTAAATGAGCACTGCTTTTCAATTCAAATTGTTAACTGCACCGCATGTTTCAACACTGCAAAACCGTCAGTGTGCGTGGTACGCTCTTCCTCCAACACGAAACAAATTCTTGGATTCCTTGGTCATTTTGTGTCATTTTGGCATTCTATGCGAACAGTGAAGGAGGTATTGGTACTTTCATGAGCCTTCCTTAAATTCCCAGACTTTTCCCGCGGCATCCTTTGTTTTCAAGGGAAAGGCTTTTCCTTGGATTCAACGGAAAAAGTCGGGGAATCCAAGGAAAGGTCGTGAAACTATTCATTCCGCCTTCAATGAAGAAATGCAAGAAACGAATTTTACAGTGTAGAGCGTGCCTGTATGCACACATTAGGAAGTGTAGACCTGTAAGATTGAGAGTTAGCGACAGTTAACCTGCCGTGGGTGACTTTCAAACATTGTGCGTAGCAGCAGATACACCACGGTAGGTACGCTTAGTTAAATTGTCCATAAATGTAAATTCAAATGTGCAGTACATAAAAGCAGATAAGAGATGCCGGTCACATTTAATCTTCGATGGTATAATTCAGCCAAGGTCCTACAGTAGGTTGTGTCACTTGGGGTATCGTGCTCTCATTGGTTGACTGATAGTGACGTCAGCGTCAGTTCGCTCGCGCCACATTTGAAAATAGCTGTCAACTTAGTTTTATTTGAACAGAAATTGACCGAGTGGACTATTAAAATATACTATCGGTGTGGCATGAACAAAGTGTGGGAATACTTTAAATGACGAATTTCAACCGGATCGTTGGTTTGCGACCTGATAAGTAACGGATAAGAGTCAACCTTACCTCTCATCCAATATGGCCGCCCTCCTCGCACCGGCGGCCGGCAGGTTCTGACAGGTGTCATCCGTTTCATATCTAGCTACAGAACGACCATCCAAGCCCAAACGTGATGCAAAGTAGAAGTCAAAATAATGATATTCTCTACATTATTTTTCCTGAAAATGAATTTTGTGAGTGAAAATGTGTGAACACTCGATCAGCTATTTGAACTTCGGCGCGAGAGTACTGACGGTGACGTCACGATCCGTCAACCAATCAGAGCACGATACCCCAAGTGACACAACCTACTGTAGGACCTTGTAATTCAGCTGCAGTTCGCTTTCTGCAGTTTCAGCTTCAGTTTGCCTACTGCAGCTTCAGCTTCAGTTAACGCCCCGCTCACGGCGTCCTCAATGGTAATTTGCCTCGACCGTTTCTTTTCAGAATCCCACCTCTTTTTAGCATCTTGGTGGTCCTTCCCGTTGATGTGTTTATCAATAGTGTCTATTCTTGTCTATTACTAAATTTACAGAGCATCTCATTCGGCTTTACGGGGTTAACCTCCCTTCCTTCTTCATAGTCCTGTACTCTAGACTGTAGTGTCTTTTTTTTTGGAGGCAGCTTTGTTCACCACTCTCACCAATGTCACCACTAACACAACACTTTAAACACCCCACGGACTTCCCGCACACGCGTTACGTAACAAGATCGGTGCCTTTGCGCAGTACGACAGGTTCGTTCTAGTTCTAGCAGGTTAGCCAACTGCGCGCCGCCCGAAACGGGCGAGAGAGCCAGGGTAACCGCGACGGCCGCGATCTGTTCGGTTGGCGAACCTAAAACACGCATTCAAAGAAGCATTTGGACGAAAATAAGGCATTTTCACTCGCAATATCTGGGTTTTGGTCAATTTCGCTAATTTTGCTGATTGAGCCCGATAACGCTCCATGAGCCCCTACCCCCCCCCCCCAATTTCGCGTTTTTTCGCGGGTTGTTTCAAAGAGGTTGTATAGTAAGTGGAGAGGGAGTAGGCCCGGCCTGGCCGCAGCCGACCGCCTCCGCCAACAGCTGCCCCGATACCGCACCACCGCGGGACACTTTCAGACACCTCACGCATGCGCAGT